ACAGGGAGGAGTGACTCATCCGTCGGAAGAAATACGCAGCACCCCGCAGATGCGGATAAGAGTGGGGGGGCGGTGGGGACGTCGGCAGTCTGCGAGACTCTGGAGCAGCCCGCCGCAGGCGCCAAGTTTCACAAATCATACAACGAGCCCGCCGAAGGCGCCGATTTTTTCTTCAGACCAATGTGGATCGGTCGCGGGTGGGTCGCGGGTGGGTCGCGGGGTGGGTCGCGGGTGGGTCGCGGGGTGGGTCGCGGGGTGGGTCGCAAGTGGGTCGCGGGTGGGTCGCGGGTGGGTCGCGGATGGGTCGCGGGGTGGGTCGCGGGTGGGTCGCAGGGTGGGTCGCGGGTGGGTCGCGGATGCGTCGCGGGGTGGGTCGCGGGTTGGTCGCGGATGGGTCGCGGGGTGGGTCGCGGGGTGGGTCGCGGGTGGGTCGCGGGTGGGTCGCGAGGTGGGTCGCGGGGTGGGTCGCGGGGTGGGTCGCGGGGTGGGTCGCTGGGTGGGTCGCGGGGTGGGTCGCGGGGTACCGCTCCTCCCCGGACCTCTCCCGGGGCGCGTTCTGACCAGGACTTCGATGCGAGTCCAGCGGTGGCGACGAGGGCCTCCCAGGACCCCCCCCAAAAGAGGGACAACGAAGGAAGGGCAGCGGTCTGGGTACCTTTTCCTCCTATGACCTCCGACGTTGGCCCATCGAGAGGGCCAGGTCCTCTCTTGGAGCGCCTCCCCTTCGGGCGCTGCTGGAGTCTGTGGGGAGGCCCTCGCGGGCGCCGTCGGCCATCGGCCGCGCCCCGTCGTCCTGGGAGATCGGGGGAGGGCGAGGGCGAGTGCGGGGCGGACGAGGAGGGGCGAGGAGGGCGGGGAGGGCGACAGGGGCGAGGAGGGGCGAGGAGGGGAGAAGGGGCGAGGAGCGGCGAGGAGTGGCGAGCAGGGGCGAGGAGGGCTATGAGGGGCGAGGGCGAGGAGGTCCTCTCTGGGAGCGCCTCCCCCCTTCGGGCGGCGGCCTTCACAGCATATCACTGTGAGGCGCTGGGGAGGTTGAGGCAAGGGAAACCTCCAAAGAGGAAGTGCCTGGATTGGGGTAGCGCTGTCGATACCTTCATTGATGCATAGTCTGTTAATTTCCCCCGTCTGGCAATCTCTTCGGAAGCTTGGCTGCGCCCCGTAGTCGAAGCAGATCGGGGGAGGGCGAGGGCGAGTGCGGGGCGGACGAGGCGGGGCGAGGAGGGCGGGGAGGGCGAGAGGCGCGAGGAGGGGCCAAGAGGGGAGAAGGGGCGAGGAGGGGCGAGGAGGGGCGAGGAGGGCGATGAGGGGCGAGGGCGAGGAGGGGCGAGGGCGAGGAGGTCCTCTCTGGGAGCCCCCCCCCCCTTCGGGCGGCGGCCTGCCCCAGCCCCCCCCCCTGCTGTGCCGAGCACCCCCCCCGTGGCCCTCGAGGCTCCGCTCTCTCGACGCCTGCCCCTCGCCCTGGGGCGAGGCTCGGCCGCGCCCGGGTCGGGCCCGCGCCCCTGCGGGCGGGCTCCGGGGACCACGTGCCTGCAGGCAGGGCCGCGGCGTCGGGGCCGCGAAGCCGCCCCCCACGGGCCTCGCGCCGCCCCCCTTCCCCCAAGAGGCGCGCATGCCTCTCGGGCCACCGTGTGCTGGCCCCCCTCCTGCTGGACGCCCCCCTTTCCTCCTGGCCCCCACCCCCCCCTATCTTGCCCAGACATGGTCGCGTCGTGGAAAAAATAAAACAAAATCAGGGCGGGAGGCTTTTGCCAGTCTTCGGCCTCGGGGAGCCCTCGCCGGGCCTCGGGACCGTCAGAAAACGACTCAGGGTGGAAAACCGGTCCCGGGGAACGGGTCGGGACTTCCAGGGACCCCGTCTTGAAAAAATCAGGACGTCGCATGTCTGGGTAGTCAATACATATTCGAAAGATGAGCAAAAAAGGTGCGAAACATCGCCGACTGATTCTATGTTTGGCTATTCTCGAAGATTCCTCCTGTCGAGGGTCATGCCTGACTTGAGGCTACACGCAGGAGTGACCCTGGGGAAGAGCGGCGAGCCGTTGGTGCGCGGCTTTCTGGGGGCCGCGGGGGGGACCGAATGCAAGCGCGCAGTACGCTACTATCGCACCGCGCTCGGCGATCGGGAGACCCCTGTGGGCCCGCAGCACAGGTCGCTCCGGCGAAGGGTCGCTCTTTGGCGTAGCCGCGAGGCGAGGGCGAATCGAGCGAGCGAAGCGCCAGTGCACTACGTATTCGACCACGGACCCCGCCCACGCCTCCCATGAAGGAGGCCTCGACCCTGACCATTCTGAGCGGCAGCGATAGGGGGGGGGGACTGGCACAGGGGCGGAGACATCGACCCGGAATCGGCCACGCATCGCCGACAGAGCGGCGGTAGGCCCCCGACAGCGAATCCGCATCTTCCTGGGCAGGTCGGGGATACCGAGCCCCTATCGGCGGTCCATGGGCGATTGGGGGTCGATGCCCGCCCCCCCTAATAGTCAATGGGCCTCCCCGACGG